AAGAAAATCCACAGCTGTCCTCAGTGTAGGCAGACCTTCACACCAAGACCTGTCCTGGTGAAAAACACCATGTTAGCGGTTTTAGTGGAGGAGCTGAAGAAGACTGGACTCCAAGCTGCTCCTGCTGATCACTGCTATGCTGGACCTGAAGATGTGGCCTGTGATTTCTGCACTGGGAGAAAACTGAATAGCTGTGAAAATCCTGTCTGGTTTGTCTGCCTCTTACTGTGAGAAACACCTGCAGCCTCATTAGATGTAGCTCCATTAAAGAAACACAAGCTGGTGGACCAAGAAGCTCCAGGAGAACATCTGTTCGGTCATGATGAGGTGATGAAGATTTTGTCTCGCACTGATCAGCAGTGTATCTGTTATTCTGCTCTGTGGATGAACATAAAGGCCACGACACAGTCTCAGCTGCACAGCAAAAGACTGAGAGGCAGAGAGAGCTCCAGCTGAGGCGACAACAAATCGCAGCAGAGAATCCAGGACAGAGACAAAGATGTGAAAGGTCTTCAACAAGGAGTGAGGCTATCAATGGCTCTGCTGATAAAGCAGTGAGACAGTGAGAAGATCTTCACTGAGCTGATCCGTCTCATGGAGAAAAGAAGCTCTGATGTGAAGCAGCAGATCAGATCCCAGCAGAAAACTGAATGAGTCGAGTTCAAAGAGCTTCAGGAAAGCTGGAGCAGGAGATCACTAGCTGAAGAGGAAAGACGCGAGACTGAAGCACTCTCACACCCAGAGGATCACACAGTGAGTCCATCACACTGGCAGTTACATCAAGCGTCCAGCCTCCACTGTCGACGAACTCCAGTTGAAGTCACCAGGGACTCATGTCCAGGCATCAAATATGCCGTCTCGCGATCTGAGTACCTTATGAGGACGTGACAACGCAGCTGTGTCAAGCTGCAGAGATAAACTACAGGACATTCTGAGAACAAGGACAACACTCACTGACAGTGACTGCAAGTGGACTGTTTCACGTGTCAAACTCGAGAGGCCCGGACCAGAGCTGACTTCTTAAAATATTCACAGAAAATCACACTGGATCCAAACACAGCACACACAAATCTGTTATTATCTGAGGGAAACAGAAAAGCAACATTTATGAGTCAACATCAGTCTTATTCTCGTCACCGAGACAGATTCAGTTTATGCTCTCAGGTTCTGAGTAGAGAGAGTCTGACTGGACGTTGTTATTGGGAGGTGGAGTGGAGAGGCGTAAGAGCTTATGTAGCAGTCGCATACAAGAATATCAGCAGAGCAGGGAGCTCGGATGAATGTGGATTTGGACGCAATGACAAATCTTGGGAGTTAAGTTGTTACAGAAACGGTTATACATTTTGCTACAACAAAATCTACTTTTCAGTCTCAGGTCCTCAGTCCTTCAGAGTAGGAGTGTACCTGGATCACAGTGCAGGTGTTCTGTCCTTCTACAGCGTCTCTAAAACCATGACTCTCCTCCACAGAGTCCAGACCACATTCACTCAGCCTCTCTATGCTGGACTTGGGCTTAACTTGTTTGATGGAGACACTGCAGAGTTTGGTAAACTCAAATAGACAGAGACTGTGTCCGAAATCACTCACTACTACCTATACAGTCCACTATACAGTGATTTTGCAATTTCGTACTGCTGTCTGAATGTATAGTGAGAATAATTATACCCTATATAGTGGACTTATAGTATCCCATAATGCATCATCCAAAGTAGAGTAAAACTGATGGTTGCTAACCAAACAACATATACCATTATGCATGGCGCTCGTGTTGAAAGAAAGAAATATGGCGCAGAGTTGGTCAATGATTCTTTAAATAATATATTAAACAATAATATAGCACCAAAAAACAGTTTTGTACAGATACTGGGGTAATGGTGTCCTCAGCAGAGAACTAAGTCATATCCCCTCTGCATGTGTTGTAATCGGAGTTTCTCTTTGCTTTGGAGTCCCTTCTCCCCACATCTATAAACAAACATGGACTGATGGAAGAAGTCAAAGAAGATGTAATCTTTAGTATCAAATCTCACATTCCCATGTTTTGTTTACAACCTTAAAACTCATGTGAATATTTGTAAACTGGAAACTCTTCTCTTCAATCTTTTCCATGTGACCTGAATGCAGCATCAGTGTTACAGGGTGTGATTGCTGTGAACAAACTGATACAGTGTGATATTGCATACATTTTAATCCCTCTTTACTGATGTTGTTTTAGATTTTAAGTTTTTACTCATCTTCCTGCAGTGAACATCACAGCAGGTGAACTGAAATCTGAAAACTGATGTACAACACAAGAGGGCGCCTTCATCCTGCTGACCAGGGATTAGTGGAAGTTAAAGCACCTGAACTCAGTGTGTTGCACATGGTTTAGCTCACGATTTTGAACTGATAAGAAACTTTACACCTGTATTTGAGTCACACATCATGGTAAATGGTGTCAATCTGTTGACAATCAAAATGATTCTTTTATGTAAAAAGCAGAAATATTACTTTACCCTGTGGAAGTTTGGCTTATGTCTCATTAACTGGGGTTTCACTGTTGAACTGAAAATATCAGTTGTTTTTTCTAGTTGATTTTGTCATTGGGTATGTGTGTGTGTGTGTGTGTGTGTGTGTGTGTGTGTGTGTGTGTGTGTGTGTGTGTGTGCGTGCGTGTGCGCGCGTGTGCGTGTGTGTGATAAGGTTGTTTTCCTATTGATGCTTTTATGTGAAGAATTGTCTCGACACTGATCAATAAAACTTAATGAATACTGAAGTGTGATTCCTGTTGTTGCAAATGTGCAGGTGTAGCTCAGTGAGTGAATTGCTTTATTTTATGTTGGTAAACATTCACAATACATAACTGCTGCTTTTGCTTATAGTGTAGGGTCAAAATATATTTCTATTCTGCAGCTACTTTATGAAACGTCCAGACCTCTCAGGTGGTCTGGGGCATGCTTGCTTACTGTCTTCCCATCAAAACAATAATATTGAGCAGCTGAGGTCAGTTTTTTTGCACCACATATTTGGATCAAAGTACCAGAAAACCTGACTGTAAGTATAATTCTGGCTTTAACTGAATTCATTTAGGGGCTACAAATTATATTGTATACCTCACTGCATTGTAACTTTTTATCGCACTTTAGCTAATTTTTTATGTATTATTTCATACTTAAATTACATGTATGTATTTTTACACGTACATATATACTAGACGAATAAACTTCCCTAACCTTAACCCATCAAATCCAAAAAAAAAGAAAAAAAAAGAAAAAAGAAAAACAACAAACATCCATAATCTACACGCTATGCTTTTATTCTGAAAGCAAAACCTGTTTCCGGTATTTCCTTAACTAACTCCTTGCACTTTGATGTAGCTCACGAAAAGATGTTTTGCAGGTGGGATTTTTTGTATAAACGCGGCTTTTGTCCGACTTTAACTGCCAGGCCCCTCGGAGACTGTTTTGTATGGCGGATACGGAGGTTTAATGCCAGGCCGTCTCTTCAGAGTTTCGGAGTGGTGAAGCGCAGTGTCGCCATTGTTGTTGTCTTATGTTTAGCCGCTAGCTGTAGGGCTAGCTGGGACGATAGTCATGTAGTATAAACAGTCTGTTGTAGTAAATGAGGACTTGTGTTTGTCCTTTTCAGAGTAAAATCCTAAATTGATGGCTAGACGCAAAACTCAATTCAATGAGACAGTAGTTACCAGATATTTAGACAAATTGTAACGTTTCAGACGTAGTATATAAAACATTTTTTCTGACTGGTACATTTTGACAATACTTTATTAGCTAATTGCTTGTGAATAATAAGCAAATGCCGTTAATTTATCCCTCATTTGTGCTACCAAGCTGATGTTGGGTAGCTAAAACCGTAAAATGGTTTGCTAATTGGAACTGAAATTTAGCCCGTTTGATTTAGTGTTATCGTATATTACTCATACCGAATTCATCAGTAGGCTGCAACGATTAAGGACTTTATACAAGTTTGACCAGATATGATTTTAATTGAACCTACCAAAAAATTAATCTTAGATTTCTAGATTATTGAGAGGATTCGGCGATACTTTCTCCACATATTTATTTTCAATTCTTGACGCCGTGTAGAGTGCTCGCTCTTTGAATACATGTAGTTAGACACGTAGTTATTCATTTTTAAATAGTCTTTATACTTCAAAGTTAAATGAAAATTATTCCATTGTGAAACATACATAACGAATATTGTGTTCTTTTCTTTTAATTTTTTTTTTAAGGCAATGTCACTGTGTTTTACTACACATTAAGTGATTTGTGGATACGTTTCAGTGCTATTGGATTGCATGTTAAATTGTACGCCTTTATTGTGAAGTGCACTTCTCCTGTTTCCGTGTTAAGTCCTGAGCTTGGAAACAGCTGAGAGGAGCACTGCGGTGTTTCGGAGCAGCATTGTTAGCAGAGCAGTTCGTCGCCAGACTCCTCGGACTTCTGTCGTTGCTCACTCGTTTTCCTCGACGGCTCCTCTCCTTTCCTGATTTTTATTTATTCCCGTACACACCTCCAGGGACTCGCACAGAAATATAATCACTAAATGACAGCCTCTCTCCCCCGCAGAGAGGACAGCTGGTGCGGTGATAACATCGGAGGCGGGTGGAGGGGGGGATGCCCTTGACTTGGGAAGGAGGAGTTAGGAGGAGAAGGGGAGCATCATCATTTAATGTTTGGGGAGTAGTGACATTGTGTGATCTTCATTGGCAGGGGCGCCAGGGATGCGTCGCAGGCTCTGCAAGTTGATTTCATCCCTGCCAGACGAGGAGCAGCAGCAGCGTCCTGCTGAAACTGGAAATGCTGTGCATCTGCAGGGAGCCCTGGCCCTGGAGCTCCGCTGGTCAAGCTGAAGAGGCCTGAGCGGTCTCCACCTCCGGATTAGATGGTGGCAGAAGGCAAGTGTGCATGACAAGATAAACAAACCCAGAGGCTGTACTGCCTGCGCTGCAGATAAGCAAAAGCTGCGAGTCTACTTTGAGTTTGGTTGTCATATTTGCTTTTTCTGGGCCTCTTTAGGCACCACAGACTCTATTTGTGGGAGTAGATGTACCTATTAATAATAAATGTAATGGGCAGCAGCCCCTGAACTGTAAATGTAGGCTTGAAACTGGGCTGGTTTATTTTTCTAACCCCTAAAGAAAGGTGGGTTTGACTGAACATAATGGCTGACCACGAAGAAGCAGAGTTGTCTGAGTCGCTACAGAAAGAGGACGGGTTCTCCAGTGAGCTAGAGGAACCAGGTACAAACTTCAAATCGAAAAGTATGCCTATTTTAAATGACGCAGCACCTCAAAAGGAAACCTTACTGGCTAGTTCTGTGCGAATGTCCATAACAGTGGAAGAGAGCGCAGAATTCATCCAGCTCCCGGCCAAAACCGAGTCCTTCGAGGCAGAGTCCCCAACCAGGACAAACTACCTACCCAAGCCAGGGAAGTCGGCGCTCAACAGGCCGAGCTCGTACATGGAGAACACGGAGATCCGTAGGAGTAAAAACATTGCAAGGAGGAAGCCCCCGGGGTTTTTTGCTTCCAGGCTAGCACAGATTCGCCTGCCCAGTAGGAAGTACCTGGGCATTATCTTACAGGACTCACGCTGCTTCCTTTTCTGCATGTGCTACCTGACATTCATCCAGTCGCTCATGGTGTCGGGCTACCTCAGCAGCGTCATCACCACCATAGAGAAGAGGTACAGCCTGAGGAGCTCTGAGTCAGGCCTCCTCGTCAGCTGTTTCGACATCGGGAGCCTCCTGGTGGTCGTCTTCATCAGCTACTTTGGTGGGCGGGGCCAGAGGCCTCGCTGGCTGGCGGTAGGTGGGGTTTTCATTGCCGTGGGTGCCGCCCTCTTCTCCTTACCTCACTTCATCTCCCCGGCCTACCAGATCAAGGAGGTCAACTCATCTTCCGGCAATGAGGGCCTGTGCATGAACAGCAACGCCAGTGGCAGGGACCGCGTCGACATCACTTCCTGTCCCAGAGACCAGGAGGGCAACGAGCACAACCTGTACGTGGCGCTGTTCATCATCGCTCAGATCCTGGTAGGCATGGGATCCACGCCCATCTACACGCTGGGACCCACCTACCTGGATGACAACGTCAAGAAGGAGAACGCCTCACTGTATCTAGGTAAGAGTTTGTAGGTATGAGTGAGGAGTTTCGTTCCAGCTAACCTTTATGGCAGCTGGTCTTACCAATTAGGTTTCATATAATCAGTGAAATTATCTGTGCAGTGATTGGTTTGAATGAAAAACTGCAGGTGCTTGAGCTGCACCTACATTTGTTGTCTTCATATGATCTGTGATCATGTTAGGATCAGTTGACATTCACATCCAGCATAATGCAGCACCTGAAAATGCTTCTTGCTCTTCCAATAAATCCAGTAGAAATTAGGACACAAATGAGCCCCTGATCCCCCAAATACAATGTTCAAATTGGGAATAGCAGATGAATATGGTTCCTCAAGTTTGGAAGGCCCTGCAGAGTAAAACTAAATCTGGGCTGATGTTCATATTCAGGTATACTCTAAAGAAGAAGACAGGGGTTGAGTCACAGTTAGCTAAATGTAAGAAATTCAGGCTTAATTCAGGATTAACCATTTGACTTTCAGTTTTAAGGCCTGAGTTGCTTGTATTTGGGCTGTGAGACAAACTAAAAACAAACTAAAAAACCCATATCACGCAAGAAGCAACTAGTTTCTACAGTGTTTCAGACTGAAGACAATCAACACAACGACCGACCAGGCCCCTGTTTCCAAAAGCATCTTAAGGCTAAGATGATCTTTGTCTCGTTCTAAATCTATGTGCTAAGATCATCTTGCTTAAATTACAGTTTCAGTCAAACAGTTAAAACAAAGGTTTTTGACATTAAACTGTCTCAAATGACATGATCATGATTAATGTTGACATTTGTCCAGAATTCAGTTGTAAATATCAAACACATTTAATATAACTGTGACACCTAAGAAGTCCGAGGTCCAACACATCATGGGCCAAGACTCTGTGATGATCGGCCATATTGTAGAGACTCATGACTTTCACCATTGAGTTGTGAATTATGACAGTTTAGAAGAGGTTTTCAAAATATCAATGAATCAATTACCAGTTTAGATAACAGTGAAAAATGCACATCACAATGTCCTGGAGCAGAAAGTGACATTAATGTCGATTTTTTTTTTTTTTTGGTCCAGCCAACAGCCCAAAACTCGACAACATTACATTTTCCCCCATAAAGAAAAGTAGCAAGTTCTCATATGTTGAGATGCTTGATGATGAATTATGACTCATTCACCAGAATTGTTGCTGAAACTAGAACCAGTGACACTGAGTTTCTGTGATGGCCACATTTACCACCGCCACCACCTACATGTCAGACTTGCTCCAGAAAGTTCTGTGGCCAAATTGACTATGTGACCTTGAAACTACCCATCCTCACCCCCCCCCCCCCCTTCCCTTTCACATGCTTCCCCAGAAGTTCTCGCCCCAGTAGCCTCAAACAAGGTAAAGCCAAATTAAACTAACAAATGAGAGCTGTGTTATGAAAGAGAGTAGGGGAAGCGGAGGGAAGGACTTATGTGCATTCCTGTTGTTGGAGAGTGGGGCAGTAAAAGTGCCACTGAGGATCAGCTTTGGTCCAAGCCCTTAGTTTTTTGTTCTTTTTAATAGAACTACAGGTGAGCTTTGCTCAGTGCAGCAGCTGGTTGGTGGCACCATGTCACCTGCAAAGAGACTGAAGAGTGAAATGTGATTGGACACTTAACAGGCTGTAGTATAGAGAAATACAAAATGCATGAGTCTGTTGGTCTTAATTTCAATGCCAAAAAGAAATAATAAGCAAAACAAAACATAACATTTCCTCATAAACAGGCCAAAAGTGTGTGGACGCTGAAACATCACACCCATATGCGATCGTCGAGGCTGTCAAAACAAGATATGCAGTAGTGCTGGAAAGTGAAATTAAAAAAAGTTAAGGAAGCACAGTGGTAAAATTGATCCCAGCCACTTATCAAATGCTGTTGAGTATTTGGTTGTGGAGTCAGTGGACCCGTGAAAAATGGATGAGTGTCAGAAACTGACTGTTGCTTGGACAAAACAAGCAACTTGAAGACATTACATCGAACTATGAGAAATGATGTTGATCAATGTTCATCATTTTCTGACATGTAATAGATCAAACAAAGTGATTTTCCTTCAATAAAATTTTTAGCATATGGTGAAGTTTGGAGAAACTTTAAAATTGAAAATCATTTGAATGACTCTAGCCTTTAGCAAAACCAATCTGGCTGTTGTAACTTCATCTGCTCCACCAGCCACTTTGGCACAGAACCAAAAAGTGTTTGTCTGACAACACCCACTTGACCAGTAAACTTTGGCATTCAGTTGCTTTTGTGGCTGCTGAATGAAAACGTTTGTGTCCAGTTTACGGCAAGCAACGGCAGGACAGAGCAGAGCAGAGTGTCCCAGTCAACAGGAGCAGATTCTGTTTGGCTGCAGAAACATGTCGGTGTAGTCGGTTGGTTTAATAGGAGCTGACAGCTTCTCCAGCCACTGGAATGAGGAACCGGTCCGTTTTTTTTTTTGTTTTTTTTAATCCAGTCCAGTATGAAAAACACAAAGCAGGAAAGTTCAGCCAGTTTTACACTGGTAAATATTGTGTCTCACTTACTGTTATTTTCCAAAGTAGGCAGCTTTCATTTGGAGTACTTATTTTTTGACAATATTCACAGCTGAAATTCTCTTTTTATCTTTTCATAATGTCATGTTTTAGCATGTAAATGGAGGTTTGTGGCAACCAGCTCTAATCCAGGATATCAAAAATGTCAGAAATCAAAGTAACCTTGACGTCCTCTTGCTGCTAACACAAGGCTCATTTCCATCCTCCTGTTTTTATGAACATTTTTAATTTGAAAAAAAAAAAAAAACTTGAGTGGAAACAATAGAAATTCGAAAATAAGGTTAAAACACTGCAAGCAAAGGAAAGAGACATGGCGAATAAATCATAATACCAACTGAAGAGATAAGAACTGAAGAGATAAAATTGCGTGTGAAAAAAACCATCAGATGTGTGTGGACTAATATGGAGGAGGTAACATTCCCCTAATAGATGCGTGAAATAAACAGAAATGCAACATATCAGTCACTTAGAATGCCCTTTAGGTGTTTTTTTTAAAGTGCTACACCAGGTAATTTGGAGCATTCATTTGTAGATTTGAGACGCCCCCTCGCTTTCGCCTCAGTTGAATGAGTCTGATATTGACCATGAACTGTGCACAAAGGGCTGACTGTGCAAAGATAGGCCTCTTATGCTACTTAGCCTACTTAGGTTATTATGTTAGTGGCAAAACATGAGATGAGCGGAGACAGATGATGTCTTAAGTAAATCTGCGGCCATATTGAGGACTCAGCTGGAATGCCATCGAAGATAGACCACCGCTGTATTCATTTAGCCCGCCGCTTTATCTCTGCAGACAACAAAACCAAACAAAAAAAAAGAACACAGATTGATCGAGGGCTTACAGAAGCAAAGGGGGCATGTCCTGGCACAGGGCCGTGGTAGGCGCAAATAAAAATCAATCAGTACCATTTGTCTTGTGATCCCTCGTCAGATCAAAGGTGTCTTTTGGTTTCTCTCGGCTGTTAATGGAGATAAAAGGTCGATAGGGAGGGAGATTTAAACTTGAGTTTCTAGTGAATGTTAAGTTGGATGGCCATGCCCAGTGGGAATGGGGTAAGCCCAGCAGTAACACAATGCAACATCTTTTTTAAGGCTCCTGCCCCACCTTGAAGGAACGTCTCACTGGGACAATGGGATTTATTGCTGGTAATTTGTTATTAAAAGAAGGAATCCAACTGATGACAAGTTCACATGACACAAGCGCTTTGGAGTTACTTGGTGTTTCTAATACTGCTATTAGTCGTGGTAACCAGTGTTACTATTATCAGTACTACTGATATAAGCCTTACTGCTACTGATACATTACAGTCTTGTCCAATATAATGCTTTTGAAGAAGATTTTAAAGTTTCTCTCCATAACTATGTCAAAATCCTCTGCTATGATTGATATTTTGTTTAATGTGGTTTTCCCACATTAAAAAGTGAAAAAAAATGGAAATCTGGGTCTGAAGCTCCTCTACTCTTACTTCCTCATTGAGAACTCTGCATCAGGCCTGGCTCCAGGTGGACAGGTGAAAGAGCAGAGAGCATCAAGATGGTTAGAGGAGGAAACATCAGAGAGACTCAGCCACATGTTTGAGCCTCAGTCAGACCCAGACTCAGAGGAGGAGTCTGTGGAGACCACAAACAGAGACTAGCAGATGAATCAGAACAGATAGCGCAGTTAGCATCTTTTATTTGTTTATGTTGTTTGTTAGCTTGTAACTGGCAGTAGCTGACACAGTGTTAATGGTTAATGGTGCTAATGCTAACTCTCTCTCTCTCTCTGCTCTGACAAGGTTTAAAGTTTATTTAGCTCCGCCCCCCGTCCCCACAAGTTGACAGGATTGGTTCCTTAGGTTTGTGACGTATGAAACCCTGGCTGTCTGAATCTGTTTTTATGAGACTGTCATTGGTTCACTGCAGTTCAAGGTGGAAACACTCAGTCATGGGGTTGACTGATTATTTCGCTCATGATGTCTTGTATTATATAAAACATCATATGGACGTTAACAATTTTCATCAGAGGGGGTCTTTAATGACAAAATGGGTTAAACATTATGGTAATAGCTTGTTTCAGAGTACTGGGGATCTCACAGCTTAAGTTCAGTCAGCTGCGTATTCGAGCTGGAGATGGTGGACTGGCTAGGGCCTAAAACTTCAAAGACCATGCATTGTGTTAGAAGTTTACACTAATCTTCAAATCAGTCCCAAAACACTCATAGCTCCAGTGTAAGAAGGATAAACTGAACAAAACCTAATCCATCATCTATGTTTCGAACTAAAGGAAACTTTGGCAGAGAGGGGAGCAAAAAGGAGCTGATATTTACCAAGTGAGAAGAGAAGGTCCTGAAACAGAGCCAGTACTTCATCATTACCACACCGTTTTGTGCCAGTATGGGTGCAGTGCACTTGCTGTCTGCGGTACAATAAACATTCTGGTCCATTTTGGCCCTCTTTTGCATTAACCTACATAT